TATTCTGATCTTGTTACTTTTATAGCAAAACTATCACCTTCTTGGCAATAAACCGACATTCAAACATCTAACATGTGGAAAAAGATTGATTAATACAGACTCTTTTGTTTAAATTACTATCTTTGAGTTATATGCCAATTTCTTCTCTTATCGCTTAAAGAAGCTCATGTTTCAATGTTTAAAAAATATCTATCAATTGAATGTGCCAGCTAATTGAAAATACAATCACAATAAATATTATCAAGGATTGCAATATCACTTAAATTGATTGAATCGTGCATTATATAGAGACTTACATTCTATTTTTGATAACATTCCTAAAGATTTTTATTGTTTCCTCAATTAGAGCTTGGGATTCATTTAAGAAATTCCCTACTCAATTAAAATGAATTCTTAGCCTGGGCTCAGAATGACCTCTCGATTCCATAACGACTTTGTCAATGCACCGTTCTCCTTTCGTTTATTTATTTCATTCATTCAATAATAACATGATCCCAGTTCGAAGAACGAAAATATCTTTTGACCATTTTAAATATTTTGAATTATTTGAGGTCAACAATTCAAATTTTCAACCCTAGTATATAAAAAGACTAACAAATCAGATCGACTTTTGTCAGTCTTAGAAAAGTTAGGGTATGTCATTTTCTCAAAGCAGTTAATTTATTTTATAAATATATTTACATAACTAAAGGGTTGAAATTTGAGCCAATAATAAAAGCAGAATCCAATGGTGCATCCAAGATTTCTGTCTATTTCAATAAGGCTTCTCAATGTCAATTGTCTCTAAAAATGTGGAATTTTTTATCTTTCACTTCGATCGTTAATTAACCGTGTACAATTCAGCAATGATCACTAGGCTTTCGCCTTAGTGAAGATTTTCATCGACACATGAGAATATTAGAAAATGGAGTTGTATCTTATTCCGAATGTAACATCAAAATAAATATTGTGATTCCTTTTTTGGCTCGGTAATATAACGGTTTAATTTAAGAATATCCCATGGATTTTGAAATTTCAGTTCTCAATTGAATGTTAATTTAACTCATGCATTGATTTATAAAGTGGGCTAAGTATTTTATAAGAATTCGTCGCCTTTTAAGTGCAAGAAGGATAATTACCTGAATTGCTTCGTAGTTACCGCAGATTGCGGCCCGATGGAGTGCCGTATGGGAATCCTGAGCCCGAAAATCAACGTGAGCGCCTCCGTTGACCAATGCGATAATCACATCACGAGGGTGAAAGATTGTTGCCGCTGCTGTTATTGGCGCCTCTGGAATGGGTCAAAACTCAATCATATTTAGATTATCACATTTCAGTTTAAACTTATATTTCCCATCTACAATATGATATCAATTTATTCCAGCAATATGAACATCGAATTGAAACTTTGTTTAAATTTAACCAAGTTTAATTTGACTAATATATAACTGTATTAAACAGAATGTAGAATAAATGCAACAGTTTATTATTTATCTAATTACGGGGAAATGCTTTTCCTGATACGTTTTATCCAGTCACAATTTTCTTTCTATTCCCATATTACGACTTGAATTCGCAATGCAACTTTTAACTTCCTTTATTTCAACGGATAGCCATTCTCACCTCCATCTTTGCGAGAGCAGAAATTGGGATCGAAACCCTTGGTGAGGAGTTTTTCAATACCTTTGACGTCGTGATCTCGAACCATATCCATAAAATGATTTTGGGTCACCTGGAAAATAACGAAAAAACGAGCTCATGCATGCACTCTATGATCACTTTATTTTAATATAAAACGAACTTGTTCAATAAACACTTGCGATAAGGTTTTATCATGCTTGCAAATTAGAAGCACCTAGTGTTTGCATATTTTAAAAGATTTTTGCCATCAATTTTACATCTGACATTAATAAATTATAAATTTGGGGTGCGTAATAGACTTACCTCCACGTGGTACACCCTGGGCAACGTATGCTCATACAGCAAAAAAGTCTATTAACTGGCAGTTGACATCCATACAAAAAAGTCTATTAACTGGCAGTTGACTTCTCCCTTCAAACTACCATCACCTCACTCTATGCCATATTCGATTACTTCCACAGAACTTACCTCACCTTTCTTCTAACTTTGTGTCTGTCTCGTTTACATCTTTGAAACACACTTCTGTTCCCCCCCCCCCTCGACTTTATTCACTTTGATGTTCCTTCTCCTCTGTGAAGTCCGAAGTAAACTAAAGGGCTAATGATAACTATCATAACGCCTGCCATTTGATATAAATAAATTATAAATACTTCAAACCGTTAATTTAATACATAATTATAAACTATAATTAAGACTTACCTTCGTTTTTAATTTGCGTATTCGGGAGTGATGCTGAGAGTCATCAATATCCATTCTGCCTTTGAACGCGAGCTAAAATATTTGTGTGGGAATTTGTTTGATCAATTTCCCTAAGCAAGAGTTTTATTAACTTTAACATTTTTTCAAATAAACTAATATCCTTAACAGATATCCTGTCTAAGTACCTGTTTAAACATGTTATTCCATAGGAGCCAACTGCTGAAACTTCTTTCTTTCATGGTATTAGAGTAAAGTTCAAAGTTCAAATTCTCATGAGTTTTTTTGCAAGTAAAATCTGCCAATATTGTAGATAAATTATTTGCTCAACAAGTTTATAGGCTCATTATTCATCTGGAATCAATTCATAAAATTTGACTATTAAGAGCTTACAAAAGAACTACACACCTTATGAGAATATTGATGATGAAAATTTCTTAAAATTAATAAATCTAAATACTGCATTTTTATTTTTAGCTATAAACAATTCTTGGCTCACTTCCAACCAACAACGATCCTGTTCAACTCCTGAGTCAGGACTCTCCTGAATTCCATCTGTCAAAGTGTTCGTGGAATTAAATGCAGTATTATCATTATCACGTGATCTCCGACCGGAATCTCGCAGAAGCACGGGGTAGTCAAAAATTGGTCGTTGTTCTTCCAGAAATTTACCCTTTTTACCCCCCTTGGGTGGTAAGTAAAGACCGAAATTCAGAGCCTCCTTAACGTTCGAAAAACTCTGAAGAACTGCAAGGCGCCTCAAATGGCCAACACTTTCCGTCGATTTCACAACGAATACGTTCTAAAAAAGCCAATTTTTTTTCATTGATAAAACATTCACATTAATTTTTATTTGACACGATTAAGCAGTAGTTGCATTTTGTGCACATGAGTGAAAAAAATTAACAGATAATCAATCAACTTATACCGAATAGTTTGATTCAGGATGTCAGGATACTTCATGAAATTAGTTCGAAGAAATTCAAGTCAGCCTTACTATCTAAGTTATCATTTAGTTACCTGGGCAAACAAGGCCGAACGGATAAGATTATTTGTGCTCACTATCAAATACTAGATGGACTTGGATATCCGCTTTAGTGGGCAGTTGGATAAATTGTAAACAGAATAAAAAACTAGGAGGAATCTGGGTGAACAAACCCTCAGTCTTCAAAATCAAAAGGCACTTAAGTTGCATTTATATTCCTTGAAATTTTAGTTTCAACTAGCCAAGTAGCACCAAAAATATGGAGAATTGTGGTTTAATTGACTACTATGCCCTAAATGAAGATGAGTCTATTGTGTAAGTCGACAAAGTAAACTGAAAGCTGCTTAACCCCACTCATATCTGAAATAAAGTTTCCTTCAAATAAAAATCATAAAGTGGAAGCCGACAAAATGTTGCTTATTACGTTTTTTATAGTAAATTTTTTTGTTAATTATTACATTTCACTATATGGGGTGTGCGATAGTCTTACCTCCACTTGGTGCACCCTGGGCAACGTATACTCATACTGCAAAAAAGTCTATTAACCGGCATTTGACTTCAAATTACCACGACCCCCCTGGTTGTCATTTTCGACCCCTTCCACAGAACTCATCTCACCTTTTTCTCTGCCTTTGTGTCTGTCTGCCTCTTTTACATCTGTGAATCACTCTTCTGTTCCCCACCCCTCGACTTTCTGCTACTTTGATGTTCCTCCTCCCCTCTGTGAAGCCTGAAGTCAGCTAAATGGCTAATGATATCTATCAAAACGCCTGCCATTTGAAATAAATAAATAAACATTTCACTATATTCAACGTTGGTCAGGCAACAATCTGGCATGTTTTTCGTTATTTTTTGCGCATTGATGGCCGCAACAATTAACAACAGCGCAAAATGAATGGAGAGATATTATGGTTATGCAATAATTTGATTCGATTAACCTAAACTAAATCGTTTCAAAGATTTTGCCATAAAAAGTATTTTGCCTATTGATAATGAAAAACATTTGCAGATTTTCATTACATATTGCTTATCTTCAGGAGTCTTTGGCAATTAATAATTTATTAAAAAAGGTATTGATTAATTGTATTTAGTATTTATCTGGACTAAAATTGGTACTGGCCGTGTAATATTTATTTATTTCAAATGGCAGGATTTATGATATTTATTATTTGCCCTGACCGTGTAATATATTTAAGTGGATATTATGAAAACGCCATCTACCATAAAACTATGTCACTCAAGAATCAGTATCCTTTCTAACTAAACTTGGAATATTCAATATCCCAAAAAAGGAAGTTTAGTACAATATAAGCTCCTACTGAAAATGGAATTTCCATTTCTCCTCCACTAGAAAAATACCAAATTGTAAGCTTGGAATTCAATTTCTTAATTGTATCTTAGCTATAACCTTGTGCTTTATGAACTGAATAATGTTTGAAAAGTAATTGGTAACAATCATGCAAGATTTTCTTTCTCTATTAAATAATTTCTAATACAGATCCGCTATTGATGGAGAAATAGAGGCCATTAGGATAGCACTATGCCAATTATGTTGCCTGGTTACGAAATTCACCAAAGCGGTGATACTTTCGGACTCACAGTCAGCAATAAACTCAATTGGAAACAGAGAGCCACCCAAAAGAGCTGAGATAAACGGATGTAGAAAACTCTATGAGCTGCTGAGAGAGAAAACAAAACAGTGGTCCTACAATGGACTCCTGGTCACTGTGACATTAAAGGCAATGAGCTTGCTGACACACTTGCTAAGAAGGGGACAACGATTTTGCAATGCATGGACCGGCCGATGTCTTTCCACACAATGAAGGCCTTAATCAGAAGAGAATTCCAGACCTCAAGGTGCAACGAACTTAAAGCTCGAACAAAGGAGAAACAGTGGACAGTGGCACTCTCAGACATA